GCCTGTTATCTTATTTCAGTAATTCTCAGTGTATGTTTGTTTGTAATCCCTGTCACTCGTCCACGGCATTTCGTTTCTGCTGCCTGTATTTTGCTTTTCTGCCTTCTTATGACATGGTTAGTGTAGATATAATAAAATATAAATATAACGAGCGTTCAAATAAAAACGTGGTCAAGTTGGTTCTGAAAATTTGGACGTAGGGCGTAGCGTATAGCAAATGAACTTAAACGTCATCTGTCAAAGCGCTATATCGCCGCTATCAATTTGAATATTTTCGTTTTAAAAAGCGTTTAAAATGGTGTTTCTCAAGAACAAAAAGTGTTTATCATAGAGTCCTACTTTAGAAATGGACGCAAGATTGATGGAATATGGAAGTCTTCTATTGAGGAATGTTTCATAGAATTTCAAAATCAATTTCCCGGTGTTGAGTACAAAATTTGTGCAGTTCAGCGTTGTGTTAATGTTTTTCGTGAAACGGGCAGTGTAACAAGAAAAGAAGGAAGCGGCAGACCTAAAAAGCGGACTGAAGAATTAAAAGAAAATGTCCAACAAATAATGGAAAATGCGCCAAGAACTTCTGTACGTGTTTTATCACAAATGGTGGGAGTATCAGTCGGTACCTGCCACACAGTGTTAAAAAAAGATTTGCGTTTGTTCTCCTATCGTTTAACTTGTCAGCAAGAACTTCATGAAGTTGATTTTCCGCGACGGGCTGTATTTTGTGAATGGTTTTTAAACAACTACGGTGAACTTCATAATATCACCTTTTTTTCTGATGAAGCCTGGTTTGATTTAAGTGGTTACGTAAACTCACAGAATATGAGAATGTGGTCTTCTGAAAAACCAGATAACTTTTTTGTCGAGGGCCCTCTACACGCTTAAAAAATTGGAGTTTGGTGTGCTCTCAATCGAAGGAGGATTTATGGACCTATTTTTTTTATTGGTACTCTTACTGCGCAAAGGTATAGAGAAGAAATTATCGCTCATTTTGTTAACCAGCTGGAAGAAAACGAAATTACAAACTTTTACTTTCAACAAGATGGCGCAAGGGCACATACGGCAGGCGAGACGATGAATATGTTGAGGGAAGTTTTCCAAAATCGACTAATAAGTCTCAATGCTGAACATGAATTTCCACCGAGGTCATGTGATATTACGCCGTGTAATTTCTTTTTGTGGCCTTACCTTAAAAACACTATTTTTGAACTGCCTATTCCTGATTTAAACCATCTGCAGGCTCGACTTATAGACAAGATTCGTGAAATTAACAATACCCCGAGCATCTTAGAAAATGTCTTTAATTCTTTGAGGAACAGGTGTGAAAATTGCTTGGAACAAGGAGGGGGACACTTTCCGCAGCTCCTTTAATTGTTTGTTATTGTTATCACGATTATTCTTTAAAATAAAGTTATATAGTCATTAACGTTATTGAAACTGACAGCTGCTTGAGAAATGAGGTTAAGTTGGTCGCTATAAGCTACTCCCTACGTCCAATGTGTCAGAGCCAACTTCGACCACGTTTTTATTTGACCGCTCGTTATAATTAATAAAATTGACTTGGATTGCCTATAAATTGACTTGGTTACGTTTATTTTAGTACTCCTAAATATATATTATTGATAATTTTACTGTCTAGTCTTCTTTATTGTGCTATTAATTTAAACTTTTTGCCTCCCACTATCGTCCATTTCGACATTTGATTTATTTTAATATATTCGATTTTAATTTTTATCTTTTCATATGTTCCTATTATCACCATTACATTGGTTTTACATTTGATTAGATTAATTCCATTGCATTTGACTATTTCATTGATTAGTTTTCTGTGGATCTGTCAAAATAATAAGATCTTTAGCACATGCACGTTCTAAATTTCATATTTGTTTCTCTAATCTAAACACAATCTCTTTAATTTCTGTGAACATTTCTTTATTATATCATCCATAAAAATAGTAAAAAACAGAGGATGACATCTTTGCCTTAGTCATTGTTTTATTGAAAAAGTTTCTGATTGTCTACTGCTAATAATGCTCTTCGTGAAGTCTATAAATACTTTCTTTTTTTTTTCTCGTAAAAATCTTACATATATGATCTTGTATACTTCCCCTGTTCTAAATCCACTGTATAATTCTTGTAATGCTTGCTCTAATAATGGTCTTATTTTTCTATCGACGATTTTTCAAATATCTTCATAAAAGTGATCAGTAAAGTAGTTCCTTTGTATTTATTACAGTCCTTCCTGTCACCTTTCTTATAATATTGGAATTCACTTAGATTTGTATCACCCTCCACAATTCTTTCATTCATTACTTGGTTATTAAACCATGTTATCTTTATCATCCAGTAATTCCATGCAACATCTCCATCTACCCATAATTTCTTTTTGTTTCTTGTTAGTAATAATACATTTTTACCAAATTTATTTTCTAAATATCTAAATGATCAGAATTCCTTTAAATAATTTCTTATTTTCTTTGCTTTCATTGGAAGTGATTATTACTGGTAGCAAAAATTAAACACGAAGTAGATAATGAATCAAGTAGCCGGAACACAAACCAACACATATGTGATGTTAGAACGAGATAAGTGACTCGTAGGTACTTATGTAATTACTGCACCAGTCTATAAATCGGATGAGCAATCAAAACAAGTTAACACTATTAGTCAAATGAAACTAATTAATTTCCATAAACTTCGTTTACAGTATAAGTCTGATGAAATGAATTATACCCACGCTTATGTTAGTGAATATATACAGGATGTTAAAACAATTATTTGCAATACAGAGAATGAGAAAGGTATTAAATGAAGTTAGTATATCGTGGGTATATGTAATATACCTAGCGAAGTCTTTGTTTATGGCTTTTTTCGAAAAGCTTAACCTTGAAATAACCTCTTTTAAAATAATGCGAAATTTCGCCTAACAAAATGAGCTAAGAAATATCCGTTCTTAATTTTTCAAAAATAAAGTTATAATTTACTTTATGTGATCACCCTATACGTTACCCATTTACTATATTTGAATAAGTTTTATTGAAAACACTCAGAGTTAGATAAAGATCAGTGATTTCTAAATGTAAATAAAAACGTTATTAAAGCACTGACGTGCTTTCCTGATAGAGGAAAGCACGTCAGTGAATATCCAAAATTGTTATTAATAAATACTGCCAATAATCAAAACAAAAATCGTACGATGTTTCTAGGTATTCTATTCCTATATTTTCCTCTAACTGCTCATAGATAGAACAAATTAAAATAACTTTTTTTAAGTAACCTAGTACCAAGAACACTGTTTGAAAAAACTTTCTCGGCACCAACCAGTTGTAACTTAGTTTTCTGCTGGGACTGTTTTATTAATTTGTTATTGTTTTAAAAATGAAAATGGTTCATACTTACAAAAACACTGATGAACTAGCAAATATATCCCTAATATTCAGGAAGCAAAACGATAATGACGTACTTTTCCAATTCTGAGATTGTTTTTCCTATTTTTGAATTATTTAAAAAGTGCCGGCACGCCAGGCCTATAGGGGAGGCATTAAGGTGTATACGTATCGAATAAATTGATCGATGCGAAGCTTCAGATCAGAGACATGTACCTACTATTGTACAAGACGCGGATTGTGAGATTACTAAAATGTGAAGTAGAACCCGGCCTACAGTCAACCCTGTACCACATTGCAGTTGCCCTAACATTTCATATCCCTAATAATCAGATTTTATGTGAAATAGTAAATATATTATTATCTTTCTTTTATTTTATAGTTGACATTCATTTTTGATGTGCTTACCAAACATCATTGGAACTATCGCCATTAAGAGGTATTTCATTAATTTCTGATATTTTTATGAAATGATATTGAAGATATTATAAAAACATCTACTTGTCCCTAAAAACTTCTTAAAAAAACTTTTTAATACTTCGTAGTAATATGGGCGTAATGTAGAAATTACGATTACATTGTATCACAGCGAAAACTTTTCTCGACATACAGTTCAATTCAATAAATTTGAAACAAGAACAAGTATTCACCAAAACGGTTCCATTACATAATATGATTTATTTAATTTATTATTACAATCTCAGTATTTAGCGAGGGGAAAACCCTTGTCAAAAGCCACAGTTACTGAACATAAAATTGTAAATGTGTTTATAATTCTTCGAACATCGGTGTCACTTAAAACCGCATATTTCTTGTAACAGTTTTTTACACTGAAACATACAGTGCCAGTTCATGGCTTTAAAAATAGTTCCAATGGTGAAGTACAAAACCAAAACCATAGACCTTGCACTAATACATTATACACATCGTTTATTATTTACTACATACATACCTATTTGTTATTCTAAATATAGAAATTCAATATACTTTCACCTAAAAACTCGCATTAATATACAATTAACACTTAAATATCCATATACCTAAGCAAAATATATTAGCACAGTGCTGTTAATCGACTGTGAATGTTAAGAAAAAGAATTTTGTATAGCCATTACAAAATATTGGGAGGTCAGTAATTTTTTTTCGTTTGCAACACATTTTTTAAATTTTTTCGGGTAAATTTCGCTTTACCAAATCCATGACAAAATAAAAGCTATTATATAGACAAGACTGGCAAATATAAGTTTAACTTTTTCATTGTATTTTTTTTTTATAAAATATTAATAATTAGTTATTTTAAGTATTATAATCATGACCTACGCCTTTTTTTAATTAATGATGTTGCTTACCTACTGCTTAGAAAAACGTAACATAATTTATGGCCACATTGAGTAGGTACGCTATCGTAGCATTATACAATAGGCAATTATTACAGGCATTTTTAACTAGAGGGTTATCGCTTTCAAAACCTAACAAATAATTTTCCTTTCCACGTTTTCTTGCGAACAATTACGACCTCACCTTGAAAACAATTAAAACTACCTCAATTGCGTATAAATTGCGATCTGGGTAATTAGTGACGCGTCAGTTAATTGGAAAAATGAGTGGGAAACTTACGCTCGTCCTTCAAAAATGTGTTCGCATCCGCTGTGGTCATCTTCACTCCAGTGGAAATGTAACTGTTCGAACACATACTGATCATCGTGGAGGGGTCCTCCTTTCAAAATGGGTAACTCTCTGTCGTAGAAGCGAAGTGTAGCTAAAATAGTTAATACATCTATTTAATGCGTCTTATACAGGGTGTAACTAGTTTTTCTCAATCACATAAAAAGTAGGAGTAACTTACACCTGAATTATGGGTAATAATGCATACCTATCAAATGTCAATAATTTACTTGTTATACCATAACCATTACACAGACAATAACAATTTACTAGCTACATTAAGTAATCATTGATTTAAGTTCAACTTACAAGGTGATACTGACTTGGTCAAGTAAAACCAGTAAGTAAATTTTTTCTTAATTGAATAGAGATTATCTATGAAATTTGCCAAATTACATTTCCTCGTAGGGTAGTATGAATTTATTCACATTTCATTAATAAAATCATTCTTCAAATCCTATTAAGTATTACATACCAACAAAAAAGATATTCACCTGTGAATCCGTTATTTGTGAATGTTGCTTCGCCCTCATCATCCCAGTGACCGTGGAATTCCAGTGGCTCGAAATGGTCGTGATGTATACTTTCATCGTGATTTAGTTGGATGGGTGATTGGAACTTATGTAAGCGCCACTCCTCAACTTGAATATGTGCGTCTTGTTCTTCTTATACACACACAAGGTAAATCATTAATAAGGGTAAATCATTAATAGTATTATTAATACTAATTTTATTTAATTTAAAATAATATTAGATACTAGATTGAGAATAATACATTTAAAATGTTTTGCTAGTGCGTATCTAAAGAAAGACGTTACGACTGATTGAAATATTTGTATTAATTAATTAGCAATTATTTAGACCACTTTGCAACTACATGGCAGTATTCTTAGCAGAAGAAAAGAAGGATATTAATAAGATATATTATTTCGTATAAAATACGATTCAAATTCATCTCGTTTTCGACTAATTTAATTATTCGTTCTACAAACACACTACCGTTTGTAATGGAGTAGGTCAAGTTTGTGTACATATCTCGTAAACACCGTGATTCATATTGTTGCTAATAGATTTCGAGTTATTTGATGTCAATGATTATGCATGGGACCCAAGAAATATATAAGTACATACTGGGGGTATTAAATAATATTTACAGTTGTATTCCAACAGAAGTTAGATATTTCCTTAGAGCTTTCAAAAGAAATATTACTCAACCCCCCAATGCCATTTAAATATTTTGGGGTGATGCTTACCCTTGCTTGGGGGTGAAAGTGGCGGAGTCAAAAATACCAGCAAAGAATGTCCCCCTTTAATCTAAAATCGACGGGTCCGAGCGTTTTTCTACAATCTTGATGCAGTTCCTGAAAATGGCTCTGTTTCGTTTTCATTTGGCCACTCTGTATGTATGTATGTATGTATGTATGTATGTATGCCGGAGGGTGGTGGAATTGTTGTCCACCGCGGCACTTAGGCCTTATTAGGCCCCTTGTACACCCTCCTTCATTACTCGAGTACTTTTCTTCAAACCATCATATTTACTACACGGGTGGCTTTGGTGGCAAAGTCTCATACAGTTTATGTATGCTAGCATAGTCTTGAGTTACAGAGATTTTTTGGCCACCCTGTATTTAAGCTTTGCTTTTATCTTAGTCACTGTAATAATTTCTATTAAAAAAGCAAGTGACTTCAGATTTGTTATTCTGCATCAGTGAAGAAAAGTTGTATTCAATTTGTAACAATACGCTAGACAGTATTGCGCCATTGAGAGCGGATCAATTTTGATCTTGACCTGACTGCGCAATTAACTTGTTAAGTTACATAATGCTTTCTAGGGACATGTAATTGATATTCAGATCACAGACTACTCTTATCGTTAATATCTAGAGGATATACAATGGAAATATTCCAAAGTTTGTTTAATACTGATGAACTTATAACAGGCCATTGTTTACCTATTTAGTTTCCATTATAAATCAAATGCAAATCATATAGGATAGTGAAATCCATCAAATCAGATTACATGAAGAGAAGATTTTAAGATTGAACAAAATCCATGAAATATTAAATGGAGAACTGATTCAAAAATGATATTTAGTGATAACAATGTAGAAGGTAATAAATTGTTATATTTATTGAAACTTCTGTGAATCGGTTGGCACTTTGAAACTAAAAGTTATTTAACTTTGACGGCATACAGGGTGTCAAAAATAATGTAACAAATGAAGGTTGGTACTAGTGGTCAAAATAATAAAAAAGTTGCTATAAGCATACTCTCTAAAATGTATTGCAAAGGAGCTATACAGTTCCTTAAAGGATAAATTAAAAAGTTGGTTATTTGGCCACAGCTGTTAATAATAGTATATTGTATTACAAGCGCAAGGAAGTAGTAATTTCTCATGAATATGAAAAAGTTCAAACGAATGAGAAATAGCTGCACACCACAGATACATTTGTAAGGGCACTTCTTGTTTACAGAAATTGCTTAACACTCCACATATATGATTATTTGTTCATTGCAAAAGTGCACTATCTACTGTATAGGGGTCGAGAGATTTGGAGAAATGCCATCTGAAATCACTGTGTATTTAAAACTTTCGAATCCACATTTGTATACATCTTCATTAATATTGGCTGATTCTGACGAAGGAATAACTACCTAGCACAAAATGACTTGGGATTGGAAATTTAAAATCAATATCTATTACGTATTTTTAGGAAATTGATATTTATGCTTACCTAATTATTGTTTGCCTTATACCTATTGAACCAAACTCATGGTAAAATGCGTAAATAAAAAAAAATAAAGAGTAATTTATTTTTTAGTTTTAAGATGTGAAATTGCCAACTCGTAACATGTCTATAGCTTTGTTCCTCGAGCAATCCAAAACAATTTCTAACAGCAAGACGCATACGCATTCCGATAATGCTTACATTTTTTGGTAGTGCCAAAGTAATACTTTGGTAACTAGATTTTTCCAACATAAGTCAGTTACTGAGCTACCATATATTCGTATATTAATTTATTCCTAACGAAATTATCCGCTTCAAAATTTAAATGGTAGATATACATAATTTTGTTCACTTCAATTTTGCACGTACGCAAAAATGAGGATCTTCAAAGGCATTTAGAAAAAATCCGACAATAAACTACTGATGATGAATTATAATTCACTTTATTACTGAACTGATTAATTTATAAATCTCATATAAATATATCAATGAATTAATAATATAGGGTGATAAAGCTTATCAAAATAATAAACTGAATTAAGTTACATACAGCAAAGGAACTAGTTGACTTACTAAATTTTATTACTGAGCTAATAAAATCAATATTTTAACTGTTCTTTTCACCTACATTTGATTATTTTTGCTGCAAATAATATAGATTTACATACTGCAAATAAAATACATATGCCAAGTAAGTATATGAAAAAAACTAGATTGAAAGCTTAGTAACATGCAGCAAATAAATGTTTTCATAAACGAATTGGCGTTAAAGCATAATTCCAAGAGTTAATTGTGATTTTATCCCCATGGGCGTTAAAGTTAGTTTACATCCTGTTTATACCTAGAATTAATAATTTTTTTTTTAACTAATGATATTTTGGGAAACAACCCAGTCTAGTATTACACCAGCAAATAATTAGAATAGACTGTAATTCCTGGGTAAAATCACCAAATATAGACTGTTTCAAACTTATTATTTCTTGTCAGTACGCCCCAAGTGGGATGATCAACACCATTCAGCTATTTGGCAATTAAGGTATGGGTTACATTGTAGGTTATGACATTAATCAAAATTTTGATAATAATTATGTTCAAATGGTGCAGCTAAAGTATAATTGGTCACCCATTCTACCACTATTTTCTAATGTATTTTCAAAACACGCGATGTACCCACATTAATGAGAGGAAGAGAGCTTACTTGGCGACTCAACTAATTATACAACTACATCAGTGGGATGCATCTTTAGTAGTTGAAACGCGATAATGATAAATAATTCTTATGTAAACCAATTGTTTATTATTATATATATGATTCATTATGAAAACTATTCATATAATTAATTTATTCAATTAGTAACTGTCATGTCATTGTTTTCCACTTATTCTTTTTCTTTTACGCATTAAGAAATTAATACTTATACCATCTCATGCTGAGATAGCCACACCACTTACTTTTGTTGATTAGATACTTAACTATATAAGTAGACTAATAATTACGGACAATGCAATCAATCGCCAATGACAAGTTTTAACCAGTTATTATTGATCCAGTCGTGATTATGTTTACCTGATTAGGACTTCGCGACCTTCTGAAATTATTGAACAATTAAACTAATAAACAATATACGTCAGTATGTACTTGATTTTGTATTTTTTTATAGAAGTAAAATTGATTTACAAAAGTGAAATGCTACGTCATGAAAACTTAGTTCCTCTTGTAACAAATATTGAATACTTAATTTATGGGTATTAGCAAAGTATTAGCAAAAAAAGAAGATACCGGTTTATAAAAAGTAATTATTAATGTTTATAAACGACTTCTTTATATATTTTCGATTGTATATCAGACATTCTCTTACAGACCCACCAAACTCAATCAATCCAAGATAAGATTTATAAGCACACCTGTCAGGTACAGTGATTATTACATTTTGTTTGGTATGAAAAGATTTGTTGCAAATCTGATATTTAAAAGTAAATTCATTCTTCCTTGAACGACTTTGCCAGCAGACTGGTTGCGATCACGATTCTAATTTAGACAAACTACGCATGTTCTGGTTGCCGATAAACTGGTTTCGCGAATGAAGGGCATTTTATCAAATGATAAATGTGTTGAGAAGACTGAATTAAAAACATTATTTTTATAATAAATCTGTTCAAAAATCGTAAAAGAAATAGTAACCCTGAAAGTAACAAAAATAGAAATAATAAGTCCAAACAGACAATAAGTCTTAAATTAAAATTCAGTGGTCTGATTATGATTGTCTTTTCTAAAAAAATAAAATAATTTTGATAGATCAAATTTTTTAGAAAAATATATTTAACTTTGATATTTCATAAAGAGATTTTTTCTTTGTTCTATTTGAGCATTTTGCCAACTGTTATTTTTTTTAATTAGTTAAATAAACTCTGCTGCCAAAAGTCAGTCCAGGTTTGTTTTTATTAAACTCACACTGAAAAAAGTAGACTAACAAAAAATAAAAAATACGCTTTAATATATTACACACTATACCTAGTTACGAAAATCGATCTGCTTTCGTTTTCAGCAAACCTTGACTGATTTTTAACTTATTTCGCATGTGACAAAATATCCAAAATCTACAGAGAAAACTGTGACACAAATAAAGAACATATTTAATAAAATGAATCAAATAAATGAAACCTGTTAAGAAAATCAAGCACGTGACATTTATAAATTAATTTCCATGAAATTAAAATAATTAAAATTAATTAAAAACCTAGATAGTTTTTACAGAGTAACTTATGTAAATCATATTTTAATTTAATGGTTAATTTACTATAAATTGAATGCATTTTTTTAAATACGTACTAGCAAATTACTTTTTTATCAGTTTGTCTAGAATAAAAGAAAGTAAACATGAAAAAATTACCTTGTGCTTGCACTTGCAGGGGTTGGGAACCATCGGGAGAGCAGACACATTCGTTTCTGCTGAAACCTGTAAGAACCGGACCGGTCATTATTAACTTTTACAAATAAATGTAAATTTTCCCGGTGTAAATATAAACAAACGAGTTCACTGGCTTGTTCTACAAACTGCTTTAACTGGTAATTTGACTCGTTCGTTTAAGTAACGGACTGCGGATGGCCACCGCACAGGCGCAAATGCAATCTGACTTATCTTTCTACCGGGTGTGTCAACTAAATATTAACTACACCTGCAAACTGGGTCACGCTTTATACAGCGGGTGCTTTACAACGAATTGGAACGGGTTGCCCGTATCATAGGCAACTAAAATTACTCGAAAGCAGATAATATAATATTTGACACAACCAAACCCATTATTCTATAATGTGGCGTAGATGAAATAAACAAATGTAGTCTAAAAATAATGAGAATGTAAAATTGTTCAATACTTCCGCTTGTACAGGGTGTTTTGTGTTAAAATATCAGAATAAACATAATATTTCATTACAAGAAACACCTTGTCTCTTATAAAAGGGTCTTGATGTCAAAATAGAGATTGCTTTCAATCTACAGGGTGTAAATCTTTTAGTAATATCGAATTTTGGCCAGTTTTTGAAAATGCATTTTGAATTTATCGGCAGAGAGTGATGATTACACCTAACTGGTGGAGTAAATATAATATAATTATTTTCCATATATAGGGTGTCCCAATTTGCATATACCAAACTTAGTTAGTGACAGAACATCTGAAAAATAAGACGAAAGGTCATATATACATAAGTTGGAGAAAGCTTCGTTTTCAAGATAGAAAGGGTTGAAAAAATAAGTCGCATATATTTAAATATCTCGCTGAATGTTTGGCGTAGATTGATAAAATAGTTTGGGAACGAAAATTCACAACCTGTCAAACCTGTTAGCTAGTTGCGGAGATCTTGGAAGACACCGTCACTGAGACCCCAGAATTTCGACCCTACTGAATATTTTGAAAATTGAATAAGTTCATTTAATTCCATTTGTTGTTTGTAAAAAAGAGGTCTTCCATTTAAAAAAACGTATAACTGAATAAATTGGGAACAACTCGCTTAACAAAAGCAGTTTATAGACACGGTTTATTAGAAATCAAATTTCAATTGTAATGAAATTATATTAAAAGTCCAAAAGAATCACTGTGGGAAAAAAGATTTAAAATTGCTACACGAATCATTTTTTGACTTATAATAATTCATTATTTCTAAACTATATTTAACAATAAATTTTTAAAAATTGTTATTGTGAAACTATTACTTTTTGGGATTATTTTCGATTTATTCAACGCTTACCTATTTTTAAAAAATTTACAAAATAATTACTTCGTTTATTCTGATAAAATCCTAGATATACAGAGTGATTCACAAAGGGCGGCCAAAAATGAAACCTCGTATTCTTTGGTGAACCTTAAGGGGTCTTTCGCATAAAGTTTTTATCTAGGACGCTTCGTTAAAAAGATACAGGGTTAAACATGGAAATTTTTAAAAAATTTTATAAAATAATTTAAAAACTAGAAAGTGAAATAATTTGAAATTGTGTACATGTATTTGTGTAAATATTGTCTAAAATCTGAGGCCTTTTCCTAAATAAAATAGTGAAAACGCTTACTTAAATAACATGACAAACACTAACCATTCGGTTATTTATTCGAATAAAGAAATTAACAACATTAGTCATTATTTTAATGATTTTATTTGGGTAAATGCTCAATAATACCTCCATTTCCACGAATACAGGCGCAACATCTTTTTAGTAACGAAAATATAATTTGTTCGAAATTGTTGCTTGAATCTGATGAAAAGCATTATTCATTATTTCTTCTAACTGCTCAAAATGTCAAAGTTGCTATCGCAGCCTACTATGTAACTTTAAACTGCATTTTATTCAACTATCGAAGTAAGTTTTATTTGAAAATCAGGCTTTTTTCGAAAAACATTGAAAGACGAATCCGAATATATCATCAGTGTTACCGTAAAACAGTGGCGTACTATTTTATTTAGAAAAATATGCCACTGATACCCTGTATCTCCACCAACGGAGCTTTTAAATTTTAGGAAAAGTCCTCAGAGTTTGAACAATGTTTACATAAATACATGTGCCTTTCTTGTTTTTAAATTATTTAAAAAAAATATATTTTTTTAAGTTTAACACCCTATATCTTTTTAACGAGGCGTCCTAGATAAAATCTTTATACGAAAGACTCCCTTTAAAATTTACCAAAGAATACCAGGATTAATTTTTGGTCACCATTTGTGAATCACCCTTTATAGTTTGCATAGAAACACCGCCCGGTAGTAAATACCCTTATTCAATTTCCAAAATATGCAGTTGCTTCAAAATTCTAGGATCACTCCTTATATTTCAACACTGCATTTCGAAAACAAGACTATCTATGATTATTTAAATATTTTTTTCTTATTTTGAGGTGTTTTATTACCATATACAGTTCAGTGTGTACAAATCAGAACCCTGTACCTTGGAAACGGAACCTTCATAAAAAAAAACATTGTATGAACTATCCTTACTATTTTTCCAAAAGGAACTCACCTCAATTTTTTTTGGAGTATGAATGTGACGTTCTGTATACAAGTTATAATAAAAATAAGGTATACTAATTGAGAGTCGAAAAATTCCCAGAAATTCCTAGTTTTCAAGATAAAAAAAGAGATTTTCTGACTTACTGAAGATTTACCAACATATGCAAACACAACAACAGTGTATATTTTTATTGTTGTGACATGATCGTGCGTAACGCATTTAACTCTGCTCCTTGGAATGGCATTGTACAAGAGATATTGCCCCAGATTTAAAAGAAATAATATATAGATACCTAGAGAACAGGAAATTGCACATAGGAGAAACAGAGGTGATGGAAATTACCAATGTGGTGCCCCAGGAATCAGTGACCCTCCTTCTACTATGGAATGTGTACGTGTGACGGGGTGACGAAGATTGCTATGTGGCCAGTTATGGGAAAGACATAATAAATTTTAAAATAAAATAATATAATAAAACAGTAGAAATAATCACACAACACCACAAAAAAGTGGGCACGGCCGTGGACCAGATCAGTGATTCACGCTGTGTTTTGACTTACTGATAAGATTTCAAATTGACTTTAGTAGTCAGTGATTAGAAACAGATTGAAATTAATGATCTCATTGCATCATAACATAACCGTATGACTCCACAAACCCGAAACCCCATAACGGTTTCGTAGATAGAAAACCACCTTAATTTCCGGATTCTCGATCTTGAGCTTGCGGAAGCTCGTCGGATCGGATTTATTTTTGTGAATAAAAATAAATTATATTAATTGACACTTGCATATCCCGCACCGACCACGAGGGGTTGAACATATCCCGGCCAGCAATAGAAAAATATACAAAAAAATTAAAAATGTCTGTGCAAGGTTTCAAAGATGTTTTCGAAGACCAGGATTATGATGGTGGTGTTATTTTTTTACCCCACCCTTCCGTAACTACCCCCAACACACATCGACCCAACCACTGGTAAATTATTTCATGTCAGGTAAGTGATTTAGCTGAAATTTTCTATCCCAAGTCCCAAAAAACATCACTGTTCAACAATTTTTAAATGTGTGTTATGGTAGATAACAGACATAATTTAACGGTCCGTAAAATTCTAAAATGTAGCTTTTTGCTATTTTTTTTTAATGGAACGAAAGGTAAGATAATAATAATATTCAATGATGTTATTAACCACGTCTATAAGTATTCAAAAAAAAATATTTTCATAAATGGTACAAAATGGCGACGCTGGAACCATTTCGCGAGCCATGTTGAACTTGAAGCATTGAGTCAAATTTGAATATAGAAAAAAACAAAATTTTTTTCTAAATCTACATGAGCATGGTTAGAGAAATACGTAGGAGATTTTGAAAACATTAATGTTTGCGTAATTGGCGAGCATTTGAAGCAAAAAGTTCAATTTATGACAAAAAAGAGGCCACTTTTTAAAAATCCCGCACGTACTTCGGAATGTTATTTTAAAGATACCTATGTTCAAAATTTGTAAATAAAATGAAAATTATTGGAGCTGCGTGTCGTTTTAAAAAATCGTGTTTCAAGAAAAACGCTTTTAAAGTTTTGAGATATACGCTATACTAATATACTTTCGTTTGAAACTGGTTCTAATTGAACATAAACTTCTTCTAATGACATCTGTTACTATTAACGACATCTGTTAGTAGTATTAGAGAAGCTAGAAATCAAAAGGTAACTGTAATTAGACTGTACCCTTCCAACAGGTATCTCTGGGGCACACAGTAGTCGTAGTTATTTCCGAGCAGTCCGACGTGCTTGGGAAGTGCTCAAAGAGCCTTAAATTTACAAGAAAATTTTTTTGTATAGATGTAACACTTTTCCCTTTATTCTAGAAGGTCCAAAGCATCTTTTAAATCAATAAAAAATATAGATTTTCTAAAAATTATCAGTGGTGGTCAAATGAATTAATTTGAGAGCAAATTTAGCAAAATGTAATTTATGGCAATTTAACTATCAAGCTTTAATTTTCTGTTGGTATTTCACAATTTGTTGGTTAACATAGATAGCACTATTAAATTGTTAATTAAAGTACCTATATTTACAAAAGTATATACTATAAAAGAATTATTCTGAAAAACAAAATTGGAAATAAATTTAAATTTTCATATTGACATAAACAACTTAAGAGTATTCAGAAAACTGCAGGAAACATATTAAAGTTAAAACTTTCTATGGCTTTCTTTTTAATTGATTTGCGTATAGGAAGTTTTCCTCTTGTTTAACATTATTTTTCAATCGATACGTGTTCATATTCCAAATGAAGATTAAAAAACTTAAAATTGTATTTAACAGAAAGTTCAAATTAACATTTATACTTGGTTAACATACTCACTCAGCAAAATAAGCTAATGTAATATGTATTTAAATAGAGATTGTAAAAACTGGACTTGTTTATTTAAGTGTCCATTCAGATTAAATAAAAACCTAACGTACATA